AATAATAATAATACAGAAACGGGCACAATCTTTCTCCAGCATATCTGTGCGTTTTCATTTTTCAGATGTATGGCACTTCAGCATTATTTAACAGGTAACTCATGTTGATGCTTCRTAATAAAAACAGGGGAAAATAAATGAAAGTTTTAGCTTCGCTCGTTCTTGAACACTTGTTTGAGTTCTGCTGCAGATCCACGCCAACAAAGGATCTAAATCACAAAACGACACTAATTTTGTTGTATTTYGTTTCCTCTGTGAGAAGTACTCACCTGCTAACTCTGTCGAGAAGATGATTTTCAATTTCTGGATCATTTGCAACGTTTCCAACCAGCCCGTAACAACGATGATGTAAACAGATCATAAACTGTGCGTTTGTTACAGTGTTTGTTACCTGCAGCTTTGTCAGATCTTCTTTCAGCTCTGTCTCCTTTCTCCGACGTCGTTTTTATCTCTTGACACAAAGCGAGTCTTTTTTAATTAATCCCAGCTCCGTGAGAAGGAGGGAAATTAAATCTAATTTAAATCTCAGAGTTTTTTCTTCCTCTAAACCAGACATGAAAAATGTCTTAAGGTGTAATCTTCTCTGCTTGTCTTGTGTGTGCGTGTGCGTGTGTCTGAGACGAGGTTTTATCAATAAAGCAACGAGCGGGTGGACGGTTAATTACAATCTCAGGATGCAGAAATCTGGACTATACAGGGGAATGAAAGGCATGAGGAACTGATTGGAACTGACAGAAGCGAGATCATTGGTATTATTTTCAATGACAGGGAGCAGGCCATGCTTTTTGATACATGTTTGGAAACATTCTGCAGAACGAGTTGGCGTGTTGTGTTTGTCTCACCGACTGGACCACAGAGTTTCAACGCGTTTGTTACAGAGAACAAAAAAAAAAACACAAAAAAGATTAAAAAACGAGACAGCAGCCATCCCACTTGTTCTTTCCTAAACACACGTTTTGTTGAGGTCGACTTTGACGGGCAGCGGTCCAGCTTCCTGACTTTCCTCCGACTGCTTCAAGGTGACGGCGATCATGGGGCTGAGGTGGTAGGGGTTGACCTTGTGCACGTGCTCCAGAAACTCTTTATCGCCATTGATGCTCAGCTAAAAGACAGAGAAAATAACATTTCATGGAGCTTAAAAAGCTTAATGGTTATACCTCAGTGTTAGCAGTTTGTCCTGATGTATCTCRATAATCCAARTAGAAAAATCTAACAAGGTTGTGTCAGGTCCTCAGTGCAGGTTCTTCTTCGTTGAAACGACTTCTTCAGTCTGAGAAGTTGGAGGCAAACTCAGCCTTATCATTCATCCCAGGGATGGAGGTCTTTATGTCCAATTGTCCCTCTCCTACTAAGTTGTTATTGCGAGTATGACTCAGCACTCTGTGAACAACAAGCAGCCATTGAGGTCCTAGCAATCTGTTGTTAGGCTGATGGTCCTTTTGTTGATGGATAAAATCTGTTTTAATAGTCACCAGCAAACCATTTTATCCATTATGTGAATATACTGCTTATAAGGCTGAGTTTACCTGTAACTCCTCAGACTGACAAAGTCTTTTAGGTAAAAGATGAAGCATTTCAAAGAAGAAGAACCCATCCAAAAGATTTTTAAAGGTAAAATAAAACCTGACACGTATCTATGGGATAAATCTTGTGCCAGCAGGAATTGAATTTGAATTGCTCAGATTGAATCTGAATGTGCATAATTTGATATTGAATGCATTGGTTTGAAAATGAATTTTACTGAACTGAAAGT